GTGACCTAAGCTTGGTGCGGTGGGGGTGCGCTTTGTGGAACACGTCCCCATTATCCTCGAGCGGACACGCGCGAAAAATAGTTTCTCCATTCCGAAATTGATTTCGCTTTTTATCCAGCGGAACTTCGTCGGCCCGCTTCAAGTCATGGCCGGGGGTGAAACCTCTAACAGAGAACCCTGGGTCCACGCCCTTTCCGGGAAAACGCAGCGCGAGAGAAACAAAGGAAGAGAAAGGACGAGAGAGAGAGAGAGAGAAGGAGAGAGAGAGAGAGAGAAAGAGAACGAGAGAGAGAGAGAGATATAGACAAACAACAACACCACCACCAACAACAACAACACCAACAACTACACCACCAACAACACCACCAACACCACCAACAACAAGACCACCTACATAAACAATAACGACCACAACAACATCACCACCACCACCAACAACACAGACAACAACAACAAGCACATCAACAACAACATCACCATCAACAACAGCAGCAGCAACACCACTACCGACAACAGCTATCACAACAACAACAACCACAACAACAACACCAGCATCATCAGCAACAACAATTACAACAACACCCAGCAACCACAACAACAGTCACAACAACAGCAACAACACCAACAACAACAACAACATTCACTTTACCCGAACGCTCAGTGTTCTCACCAGTGCCAGGGTTTTCATGCGACGCCAGCCAATACCCCCACTTTGTGGGGGGGCAGTGCAAGCTCTACCAAATATCCACACGACTCTTCGCCACCACCCACACCCAGCTTCCCGCCCTATGACGTTCGGACACTTCACTTCGTGGCCTGCGGACGACCGTGGCTACTACACTGGCGTGGAGTACACACCCACAGAAGTTGTTAAGCCTACGTTCGTACACCCACAGAAGTTGTTAAGCCTTGTTAACCCACAGAAGTTGTTAAGCCTTCCACAGAACATCTGTTGCATATGATGCATATGGTACATGATACACATGATACACATGATACGTACTCACAAGATAGTTGATCACATCTTTAGGGCAAATTCCTGAGGGATGTGGGAATACACAAGAGAGAGAGGATATGGTTGTCCCGATGGTTGTCTCGATGGTTGTCCCGATGGTTGTCCTGATGGTTGTGGTTGTCCCGATCGTTGTCCCGATGATTGTCCCGATGGTTGTCCTGATGGTTGTGCTTGTCCCGATCGTTGTCCCGATGACTGTCCAATGGTGGTTTTGGAGATTTCGGCGTGCGCGCGCGAAGAAAAAACGAATGTGTCCCGCATGGTATTATTTGACAGGGATGATGGCCCTGGCAGGTGCGCAACCGTTGTCGCAGAAGTTCGAAAAAGTTGCTCGCAAAAGCCCGTTTGACAGAAATGTTTAAAAAGTGTTGGGTTTCCTACGAATCCGCAAGAGCGCGCGGGATGAGATTTTGACATTTTTTTGTTGAAAAACCATTGGTTTTTTGATGTTTTTATGTTAAAATCGCTGCGAACACTAAGGTTTTGGAAGGATTTCGTCTTGCGCGCGCGAATGTCCACTTTACCTTATTTTTTGCAAGGGATTCTTGAAATTTGATTATATTAGAACAAGAAATGTCATTTTCTATTGTTTTTTGCAAGGGAAAGCGGATTACAACAAAACAACCGGATCCTGTACACACCCTCTTTTCTGAGGCTTCCTCACGAAAATGATGAAAATGTAGCTGCGGCCTAGGCGGCGCAGGGGGGGCGCGCACCAGGGGGCCCAACAATAATTATTCTTTAGAATAAATAATGTTACAAGAGACGGCAGTCGTCGGCGGCGGCAGGCGGGGGCCAGCGGCCGCCTGCGGCCGCGTCTCTGGCCGAGAGGAGAAGGAGACTGACAAATCATACTCGCCACAGGCTGAGCAGCACTGCGATTCTCAGATCTGGCGTTCGGCACAGGCTGAGAAGCATTGCGGCGTCACTAACGCGCCCTTTAGCCTAGAACCCGTCACAGTGCATCACCCGCGTCGCCGCCAAATCCCTCCAAGGTGCCGTCGGTGTTGCGAATGTCGCCGCGGCCGTCCGCGCGGACAGCCACGCCCGTCTCGCGCGAAAGTGCGCCGTCTCGGAACCTGTTGACATGATTGACGTCGCACCCTTGCAGGGTGTTCTCCCTGGCGCGCCCTGGCGACATCGCGTTGTCCAAGCGGCGCGCTGAGCGAAAGCGGGCCTCCGCGCGAGTCATGGCCCTCTTCAGAGCGAGACGCCTGCTCGCCGCCCCCTCTGGAATGACAGGCTAAGAAGCACCGTACAGCCCGGTGAACTGCTGGGGGACGCGGACGAAGTTCTCGTTGACGACCCCAAAACATACATTCGCCAGCGCAACAGCTTCCAACTCAGAAACCTGCTGAGACGCAGTTGGAAGCGGCTTCGCACGCGCTCGCGGAGGACAGTTTTTCGCGCGGAACCAGTTTTGCGCAGCCTCTGCGCCTCTTCCTCGTCGCCGTGCTGTTTTGTAGTGTGATCTCAAAATTATCACAACGTTTTCGTCTATCGGGGTGGACGCGTCGTGCTCGCCAGTGGAAGATATGCCTTCGACCAGCATGAAAAGGTGCCCCGGGGCGGAGCAGGTGTCTGATCACTTTAGTCGTCTGCGTGACTGCGGCAGCAGCTCTCTGCGAGCTGCCGTCCAGTCGCGGCACCTCCCACGTGAAGTGCAAGAGCTTCATGAGGCCAGTCGTCAATTGCACGGGCGTGTTGGGACCGTCAACAAGTCTGGCGATATTCCGCCTCGCAGCGGAGGCTGCGTCGGCGAGCTCGACCCCTCGAGCGGCAGACTGAGTAGCGCCAGCGTCGGAGCTTTGTCCGCGCGCGAGGATTGGCAGCGCCACAGGCCGAGCAGCGCCGCGGCTTCCACGAACCCGGAAAGGGATTCAGAACTGCGAGGCATGGATTCGTTTCTAAGGTCCTTATTTGCAGATGCAGTTGGGCGATGCTATGGGGGGCATGCCAGGGGAACGCGCCGCTCAACGTCCCACGTGACGCGCCAGCGGACGTGCCAGGGGATGTGCCATGGGGACGCACCGCGGGACGTGCCAAGGGGACGCGCTACGGAACGTGCCAATGGACGCGCCACGGGACGCGCTGCGCGACGTGCCAGGGGGACTCGCGACGGGACGCGCCACGAAACGTGCGAGGGAGCGTGCCAGGCGACGCGCCAGGGGACGTGCCAGGGAACGCGTCAGGGAACGTGCCACGGGACGTGGCACGGGGCCGCGCTCCCAGGCAAGCGCATGTTTCTGCTCCACAAAACGCGGCTTGCCTCCCCCCCGTCTTCCCCCCGAGACACCGCGGAATCACAAAGGGGCAGCGCCCGGCGGACCCATGAACGAAGCCATGACGTCGGGATCGCGCTCCCAAGGCCACGATCTCTGGTAAACTGCACTGCGTCCGCCCTCCCTGGGCTGCGATCGCTCGTAAACTACGCTGCGTCCGCGCTCCCGAGACAACGATCCATCGTAAATCACGTGGCGTCCGCGCTTTCAGGGCCGCGACCCCTCGTAAATTATGCGGGAGTCGCGCTCCCAAGGCCACGGTCCTTCGAACATTGCACTGGATTCGCGGTCCCAGGGCAACGATCCCTTTTTGGAAATTTTGCAGGATTCACGCTCCAGGGCCGCAGCCCCTCGTACATTACAGTGGGTTCGCATTGCGAGGGCCACCATCCCTCGCAAATGATGCTGGCTTCGCGCTCTCAGGACCAAGATCTTTTGTAAATTATTCTGCGTCCGCGCCACCAGGGCCTCGATCCCTCGTCAATTGCGCTGTGTCGGCGCCCCAAGGGGCAGGATCCCTAATTCATTACGCTGTGTCCGCCCCCCCCGGCCGTGGTCCCTTGTAATCTATGCTGCGTCCTCGCTTCCAGGGCCACGATCCATAGTAAAGTACGCTGCGTCCGCGCTCCTAAGGCCACGATCCCTCGTAACTTACACTGCGTCCGCCTTCCCTTGGCCACGATCCCCCGTAAACTACGTTGCGTTCGCGATCCCACGGCCGCGCTCCCTCGTGCATCACACAGCGTCCGCGCTCCCAGGGCCACGATCCTTTGTAAATTACGCTGGATCCGCGCCTCCAGGGCTAGGATGACGCTGCGTCCGCGCTCCCAGGGCCACGATCATTTGTAAATTGCGTGGCGTCCGCGCTCCCAGGGCTGCGATTCATTGTAAATAGTGGTTCGACCGCACTCTCACTATCATCTGGGCATTTTGGGGCGCCCAGGCCTTTCAAGGGCACGCAGGGTGCGCTATCTTCGAACGGGCAGGCAAAAGCTACCGTTTCTTTTGCAAAACAAGCCCAGGGCTCGAGACATCGTCGAAATTCCTGCGCTCGGGACGCGCCATCCTCGAGCGGGTACGCAAAAGGTAAATGGCTCATTGAAACAACAAAGATTTTAGGGTCTCCACACTTCGGTTTTTATGTGGATTCTGTGCAAAACGCTCCGCACCTCGCTTTTACAAGGGAAGACGTGTGTCCGCGGACCCGGTTAATTATCGAGGATCCCAAATCGGGGACATTTATTTCTTGAGCGGGCACGCGCGAAACGAATTTCTCCATGTGCCGAATTCGATTTCATTTGGTTTTTTTTACAGAATAATTCCGCCAGCCCGCCTCAAGGCGAGTTTTTCCTTGAGCGGGCACGCGCGAACCGCATCTACTCCACGCCGAGTTTGATTTTATTTTCTGATTTTTAATAAAGAATAATTCCGCCAGCCCACCTCAAGTTGAAACTGGGGGTTAGCCAACTAAAAGAAAACCCTGGGCCCACGCCCTTTCAGGAAAAAGTGTGTGTGTGTGTGAGTGTGTGTGTGTGTGTGTGTGTGTGTGTGTGTGTGTGTGTGTGTGTGTGTGTATGTTTTACCACGTTTGTGCGCCGCGCGTGTGCGCCGCGGACTCGATGGGATAGGGAAGGTGGCGAGGAGGCGCGTTCCTGCACGCACATGTGGCTTGCCTTGCGCATGCGCTCTTGCTTCCGACGCAGGTTCTGGCCACGCTGAGCGCTCAACAAGAGCGGCTTTGGACCGCTCCACCTGCATGCGCTTCCCGCGCACTTTCTCTCTCTCTCTCTCTCTCCCTCTCTCTCTCTTCTCTCTCTCTCTCTCTTTCTCTCTTTCTCTCTCCTCTGTATTTCTTTTTTTTCCCGACCCTCCTTGGTCGGGTATTCGTTTTGAATGGAGCACTGCGGTCTCCAGTCCTTCTCCTCCTCCTCCTACTCATCCTCCCGCCTCCCGTCTCCCGCTTCCGTCTTGTCTCCTCTTGCCTTGCGCGTACCTCGTGTGTGTGTGTGTGCATCATGGCTGCGGTACCTCTTGTGTGTGCATCTTGCCAAGGGGCTGCGATCTGTGACACTGTCGCCACTTTCGAGGGCTGCTGGTGGGTCCTGCGGAGTGAGGCACCGCGGGGTCCTGAGCGAGACCTCGCCGTCCCTGGGGGGCTGCGATCTGCGACATTGTCGCCACTGTCGAGGGCTGCTGCTGGGTCCTGCAGAGTGAGGCACCGCGGGGACCTGATCGAGACCTCGCCGTCCCTGGGGGGGCTGCGATCTGCGACGCTGCCGCCACTTTCGAGGGCTGCTGGTGGGTCCAGCGGAGTGAGGCACAGCGGGGACCTGAGCGAGACATCGCCGTCCTGGTGGGGGCTGCGATCTGCGACACCGTCGCCTTTTTCGAGGGCTGCTGATGGGTCCAGCGGAGTGCGGCACCGCGGGGACCTGAGCGAGACCTCGCCGTCCCTGGGGGGGCTGCGATCTGCGACATTGTCGCCACTCTCGAGGGCTGCTGCTGGGTCCAGCGGACTGAGGCACCGCGGGGACCTGAGCGAGACCTCGCCGTCCCTGGGAGGGCTGCGATCTGCGACACTGTCGCGACTTTCGAGGGCTGCTGGTGGGTCCAGCGGAGTGAGGCACCGCGAGGGCTGCTGGTGGGTCCTGCGGAGTGAGGCGCCGCGGGGACCTGAGCGAGACCTCGCCGTCCCTGGGGGGGGGCTGCGATCTGCGACACTGGCGCCACTTTCGAGGGCTGCAGGTGGGTCCTGCGGAGTGCGGCACCGCGGGGACCTGAGCGAGACCTCGCCGTCCCTGGGGGGCTGCGATCTGCGACATTGTCGCCACTCTCGAGGGCTGCTGGTGGGTCCAGCGGACTGAGGCACCGCGGGGACCTGAGCGAGACCTCGCCGTCCCTGGGGGGGCTGCGATCTGCGACACTGTCGCCACTTTCGAGGGCTGCTGGTGGGGTCCTGCGGAGTGAGGCACCGCGGGGACCTGAGCGAGACCTCGCCGTCCCTGGGGGGGGGCGCCATCTGCGACACTGTCGCCACTTTCGAGGGCTGCTGATGGGTCCAGCGGACTGAGGCACCGCGGGAACCTCGCCGTCCCTGGGGGGGCTGCGATCTGCGACATTGTCGCCACTTTCGAGGGCTGCTGCTGGGTCCAGCGGACTGAGGCACCGCGGGGACCTGAGCAAGACCTCGCCGTCCCTGGGGGGGCTGCGATCTGCGACGCTGTCGCCACTTTCGAGGGCTGCTGATGGGTCCAGCGGAGTGAGGCACCGCGGGGACCTGAGCGAGACCTCGCCGTCCCTGGGGGCTCTGGAGAGAGAGAGAGAGAGAGAGAGAGAGAGAGAAAGAGAGAGAGAGAGAGAGGGAGAGCTGCTGCGGACTACGTTAGGCGCAACGGGCGCATGGCACAGCCAACGGGGGTGATTTGTTATTTCGTAGCCCGTATATCTTGTCGGGGGCCTGCGAGCCTTCCGATTGCTGCTCGCAAAATCACATGCGCCCATGTTGCGTCATCGCCCCCGTTGCAGCTTGTAGCAATCCTGATGTAATTACGCCCCGCATTTCGCAAGGGTTGGGTACGTTGCCAGGGTAATTTCCCAACCCTCCTTGGTTGGGTATTCGTTTTGACTAGAGCACTGCGGTCGCGTCTTCTCCTCCTCCCGCCTCCGGCCTCCCGCCCGCCCTCCTTCTTGTCTCCTCTTGCCTTGCCTGGGGGGGCTGCGATCTGCGACACTGTCGCCACTCTCGAGGGCTGCTGCTGGGTCCAGCGGAGTGAGGCACCGCAGGGACCTGAGCGAGACCTCGCCTTCCCTGGGGGGGCTGTGATCTGCGACACTGTCGCCACTTTCGAGGGCTGCTGCTGGGTCCAGCGGAGTGAGACACCGCGCGGACCTGAGCGAGACCTCGCCGTCCTTGGGGGCTGCGATCTGCGACACTGTCGCCACTTTCGAGGACTGCTGCTGGGTCCAGCGGAGTGAGGCACAGCGGGGACCTGAGCGAGACCTCGCCGTCCCTTGGGGGCTGCGATCTGCGACACTGGCGCCACTTTCGAGGGCTGCTGGTGGGTCCAGCGGAGTGAGGCACCGCGCGGACCTGAGCGAGACCTCGTCGTCCCTGGGGGGCTGCGATCTGCGACGCTGGCGCCACTTTCGACGGCTGCTGGTGGGCTCGCCACTTTCGAGGGCTGCTGGTGGGTCCAGCGGAGTGAGGCACCGCACAGGCCTGAGCGGGGCCTCGCCGTCCCTGGGGGGCCATGTCATGTTGTTGCTGCCCCGCCGACGTTTCAGGCACCTTGCCCACCGTCTCCTTTTGGGCCTTGCGTCTTCCTTAGTGACTCAGGGGCTCACTTAGCTACTCTTCGTTTTTCTCTTGATTGGGAACCTGCGAACCTTCCGAATGCCGCTCGCAGAAGTATATGCGTCCATGTCACGTCGCCGCCTTCTCGTCAGATCTCCCACGCTCGCTCCTGCCCCGCATTGCGCAGGGGTTGGGTACGTCGCCAGGGTAATTCTTTCTTTCTCTCTCTTTCTTTCTCTACTGATTCCGCCACAGACATGCGTATATGGCCAGTTGCTTTTACTGCGGTGCAGTCGATGCAAGGTTTCTATTGTCATCGGGCATCCCCCGTCTCTTGGACAGGCTTGAGGCGTTCACGTGTGTGGGGGAACCTGTCGGTTTGTATCATCCTTTGGCAGTCACAAAAGTGTTTCGGCCAAAGTGGCTTGATTTGGAGCGGGCGAGGGCTGCATGTGTTGCACTTCACCATCTTGTCTGAGCCAGGGAGGAGCGCTTAGTTTTTGTTATCATTGCATGTCTCGTCAGCAGGTTCGCCTGAGATTACATTCCCGTTTATGGGTTGTCACCGGTGTCGTATAGTCACGGGTCTTGACGGACTTTTGCACGTACTCGCGACTTGGCACGGCCTCTCGGACCGGGCGGAGCCTTCGGATAACATCTTGGTGTGGCCTACCTGGACCGTCTTGTGGACCTCTTGGGGCTCTTGAGGGTCGTATCGGTGACTCTCGTGGGCCCTCGTAGGGCCATCTTGGGCCGTCTTCGGGCTGTCTTGGGGCCGGTTGGGGGCCACTTGGGGCTTCGAAGCCTGAAAAGTCGAGAACGAGACAACCAGGGAGCATGATCGACCTACGAACCCGGAAAGGGATATGGAAGTGTGAGGCATGGCAACGTTTTCAAGACACTTGCTTGGGCGACGGGCAATTGCAGTTCTTAGTGTATCGTTCTTGGTGTACCGTGTCCATGGCTGTGCTGTGCTGTGCCGTGCTGAACTTCGATGTGCCATGCCGCGATTTTGCTCTGGCATTGTGGATCGAGTCCTCCTTGGCACTCGAGTCCTGACCGAATTGATCTGGATCTCAAGCTCGAGCTGCCTGAGCACATAGTTGTCGCCCCAGAGCTAGTTGAAGTGGAAACGCGGAGGACGTTCAGTCAACTCGACTTCAAAGTCCGACTCAGCTCCGAAAAGGCACGACACGACACGGGGCACAGGCTCACGGACGCGCCATAGGATGTGCCAGGGGCGCAATGGGGGATACACCAGGGGACGCATCAGGGGACGTGCCCTGGACGTGTCAGGGACCTGCCACGCGACGTGCCAAAGCGAGTGCCATAGGGGCGGCTAGAGGACGTCATGCCAAGGGACGTTGCAAGGGGCCCGCCACGGAACGGGCAGTGGAAACGCCTAGGGACGGGCAAGCAAACGCGACAGAGGACGAACCAGGGAACGTGCCACGCCGACTGGCGTGCTAGGGGAAGTGCCAGGGCACGTCACCCCTAAACGTCGCAAGGGACGCGCCAGGGGGCAAGCCAGGGCGCCTGGGGACGCCCCCCAGACGGGCGGGGTTGGACTGCGAGGCACTCTACTGCGACAAGCGTTTCGCTCAAGACCTCCTCAACACATCCTCATTTTAGATATCTGCCTGGGCGACCTGGACACGCACGTGAAGCCAAGCGTCTCGCTCGAGACGTTCTCAGCACCTCCTCATGCTAGACATCTGCCTGAACGACCTGGACACGTGAAAGCAAGCGTTTCGCTCAACACATCCTCAACACATCTTCATGCTAGACATCCGCTTGGGCGACCACGCGAGAACGAGCGGTTCAATCGAGACATTCTCCGAGCATCTTCATGTTGGACATCCGCCCGTGCGACCTGGGCACGTGAAAACGACCGTTTCGCTCAACACATCCTCATGTTAGACATCCGTTTGGGCGACCTGGACACGCGACTGCAGGCGTCTCGCTCGGGGCATCCTCAGCACATATTCGTGTTAGACATCCGCTTGGGCGACCACGCGAGAACGAGCGGTTCGATCGAGACACTCTCCGAGCATCTTCATGTTAGACATTCGCCTGTGCGACCTGGGCACGTGAAACCGACAGTTTCGCTCAACACACCCTCAACGCATCTTCATGCTAGACATCTGCCTGAGCGACTTGGACGCGTGAGAACAAGCGTTTCGCTCGAGACATCCTGTCCACATCCTCATGTTAGAGACATCCGCCTGGGCGAGCTGGACGCGTGAAAGCAAGCGTCTCGCTCAACACTTCCTCAACGCATCCCCATGCTAGACATCCGCCTGGGCGGCCGCGCGAGAACGAACGGTTCAATCGAGACATTCTCCGAGCATCTTCATGTTAGACATCCGCCTGTGCGACCTGGGCACGTGAAAACGATCGTCCCGCTGAACGCATCCTCAACACATCCTCATGCTAGACATCCGCCT